TATATATATATATATAGTAATAGCTTTTCAATGCCGAAAAATATCGTAAATAACGGTAGGAAGAGCAACCCAGATCGCTTACATTTTAATGAATTCAAACAGCGGCGAATCCCTCGGGATTACATCTCCAGTGGAAAAATCAAACTAAAGGCAAACGTTACCTTGGGAGTATTCTTCTAAAAGCTATTTTTATTTGTCTCGAAAAATATTGTCAAACAGGATAGAAATGAATAATTTTACCTCTGTAACGTGTTCCATAAGAAGGTCTCGTTTCCTGCGCAAAATTCGAAGATGTCAAGGCCAATAGGAGGAAGAGGACGATGGCGAGGAAATTCCTGAGCGGTCGTTCCATCTCGCAAATCTTCCTCGATCTCCTTTTTCACGATCGTCGAGACTAGCGTCGAAAGAAACGCTGTCTCATTTGATGGCCGCTCCTAAATCCCAACTAACCGTTTACTCGCGCCAAACTCGCTTTTTGTTTTCCAAAGGGGGGTGGGGAGGGGGATGGATGGATGGATGGATGGATATACTTTGGAAAGCTCGCTCTGTGAATTATTTCTCTATGACGGAATCTACTTGGAATCTACTCAAGCGATCTTTCCTTTGCGCGAACACAAACGCCAAGTTTTCTTTATCCCCTTCCGTGTTTAGGTAAGCGTTTAGGTAACGGTTTTTGTTCGCGGTGCTGCYAGCAAAGAAAGAAAGCGCGATGGGGTAGATTGGGGGAAACATCGGAGGAAACACAATGGTAGTCGCGCGCCACTCGTTGCCTTTTCAATTATTTTTAATTATTTTCTGAATGCCGGTCAGCACCCTTTTTCTTCTTTTTACCCTTCCACGTGATTTTCAAAAGAATAATCGCGACGAAAGCGCGTTGGTCAAATGGAAAAAACAAAACAAAAAAATAAATCGACAATGAAAGAGCGAACCTGGCGACCAACAGAGATCTCCTCCTTGGGATTCGATAAAAGGAACTACTAGCTGTCGCGTTGACCGAAGCTGACAGACTGCCAGACAAACTGCTAGTCTCCTCGGCATGGACTGACTCCTCTGACTGAAGAACGCGACCCACACCCCACCTCCTGTCAACGCGCAATGCCAAGCGTGGGAGGAGGCACTAAGCTACTTCGGATCTCTTTTTCCCCCCTTTCGCGCTTTCCCAGCAATAACGAGCGCTAAACTTTTCAAATATTCTTCTTTATTATTTAAGTGGAAAAACGCAAGAAGCTGCGACCGAACGGCGTTGTTTCGAACGAATGACTGACTGACTGTCAGAGGAGAAAAGCGTAGGTGGTCTCGCAGGTAGGACGGCACGCGCGCCTACCACCGCCGAGCGCACCCAACGCGCGCGTCCCTTTCGCGCGCTTCCTCCCTTCGGATAGATTCGGTAGGATTCGACCAACTCCGACCGACGACTCTCGAGCGACGAGCTTTGAAGCCTATCTCGCAAAACGAGAGATGATAAACCTTGCGGAAAATGCAAGCTGCGTGCGTGAGCAGCACTAGCCTTTTGTTAAAAGGCAAAAAGGCAAAAAGGCCAAAAGGCAAAATGGGGCCCCCCCCCTTCCCAAACTATCCTGCAAGACTGTCCTACCCCCGACCGATTCATTCGACTACTTGCAAAAGAGCATTTACTCGCTTCTCTCTTCTTTCCTCAACTTTCGCTTTTACAAAGAAGATATGAAAGAAGAAGTTGCGACAAATTATTCGTTAAACCCGTCGTAGCTGGTCTCTCGTAAACGTATACGATAAATCGATATCTCGTTGAAGGAAAGCCGGTTTAGAAGAAGGATAACGACGAAACGCTCGTTTCTAATGGATCCCGTGGTATTTAACTAACAAACGTCGCGGTTAGTTCAACGTCCTATCCTCCGTTGACCTACTTACCTATCCACTTTCCGATCGATCCGTTAGCGCACAAATAATTCAACTATTTTGTCGAAAAAAGATGACAAGAAAAGGGAAATCCAAAAGAAAAGTCAGGCTTTGGGTGTGAGGATGTGCGTGTGTGTATGTGTGTGTGTGTGTAACGGCCGCGCGCCAAAACTCTTGCCTACTACCACTTTGCCTTGTAGTAGTAGTAAGAGTAGCAGCAGGATTTTTCTAAAAGCAGTACGACAGATTCGAGAGCTCGTGGAATTACACAAGTTTAAATAAAATAAGTTTGCTAGGTTGCTGACCGACGCCAAGCACAGACAAGGTAAAGACGGGGGTGAGAAGCGAGCAAGGAAAGGGGTTGCGCATGTTTATTCAAAGCTATCTTATATCACATTTTCATACTAATGGACTCGTGTTCAGCTGTCCGTCTGGCGAGTATTCGCGGCTGACGTTCTCTCTCGTTCTCTGTCTCGCTAAAAGAAAAGGAGAGACGGGCCGCGGCGATCGGTTCTTCGCGAGGAAGAATAAATGAAACATCGCGTGGAAATTCGCAGCGGGGCGACCTGCGTCTTTCTCGGGGGCGACCGATTAAACGGATCGTCGTAAATTACAAAAAAGCCGAGAAAACCCGAGAATATTATACCGAGAGAGCGAAATAACCCAAGCAAACCATTTGCCTCCTCGTCGCGTTCGTTACGAGCACGGTTACCGGGGTACGGGTAACGCCTACCAATCCGCCGTTTCCCGAGCTTCTACCCTCCCCCTCGAGCCCCTTTTCCACCGATATACGTTTAATACCGCGACCGACCAAAAATGAATTCTACCAGGGATACCGAAAATGACCTGCTTTCTTCCTAACTCCTTTATTCCAAAACTCGTTATTCCAACAACGCAAAATCATACATACAACTCAACAAATAGGTTTTCTCTTTGAAAGAGGGATCGATTTGCGATGCGATCGCGAAAGAACGGACGCGTTCACGCGACGACCACGATTACGCTATAATATCGATATTTACATTTCTCTATTTGCTCGCAACGCTCGAACAAAAACGCGAGCCTACTTGGAAGGACTAAACGAAATCATATCTATCTCCGAGAGAGAGAGAGAGAGAGAGAGAGCAAGAGAAACCATCGAAGATCGTTCCTATCGGGCGATGCAGTCTCCAGGATTCGGAGAACGCCAATTTCGAGGACGGTAATACTTTAACCTCTCGGTAAAGCATAGGCCTGGTATTACAAGCTATTACCACTGCTGACCAAAGAGAGAGCATCATCCACTTGTCTTCTGTTTTCGCTCACTTTTCAAAAGCATATCAATCGACCTAGCCCCCTGTATATTTGATCGAAAAACAAAGTAACGCAAAGTAGATGCACGCCTCTGCAAATAATTACATTTATAACCACGAGGACGAAACGATTATGAAATTGGGTTGAAATCACACAAACTCGAGATATAAATGAAACAAATCGATTTCAATTTATTTAGGTATCCTACTAAAGAGAGAGTGAGAGAGAGAGAGAGAGAGAGGATACTCACTGCATTTAACTTTAATAAGTAGGACGTCGAGGCTGCGAGGAAGATAGAAGCACATCTAGACGTAAGTACACGCTTCTAAAGTCAAAGGACGCATCTGAATAATGTTCGAAGGGGCGGGTGCTGACATTTGTCGTGGTGGTGCCTAGCGTGCGATAACCCCGACGGTCCTCCCTCTATCCCTCTCTCTCTCTCTCTCTTTGTCTCTTTGTCTCTTTTCATTTTGTCGTGGTTCCAGTTACCTTACCTTCCCGCAACGACTCATAATTGTCCGCACTGGCATATTGCAAGACGGAAGAAGCGAGAGACACGAAAGTAGTTATACGAATTCCTACCTACCAAAGATGGCAAGAAAGAAGGGTAGATGAGAAAGGGAACGAGAACAGGGTAGAGAACAAGCTAGAGAACAGGGTAGAGAACAGGGTAGAGAACAGGTAAATCCTCCCCAGTCTAGTTCGCTGCTGAATACTTGAATATTGATTAAGCATGCATATCGCGATTACTCGAGTAAAACGTTCTTGCTTAGCCGTCGCTGTCGCCGCCGACGACGACGACGACGACGACGACGACGACGACGACGACATCGACGACAACGAAGAGCTGCGTGTCTCTGGTTATTTATATGAAATCGTTTGTTCTTTTTTTATTTTTCCATCCCCTGTATATTCCTATTGCGTTGATTTACGATCACTCGTTTCTTTGGACTAAAGTTTAATCGAGACTCGGTTGGGCGTGCAAGCGCAATCGAGCAACTCTGGCAGAATTGGTTGAGATTCCGTGCTCCTTTCCGCGTTGTTGATCGCAACTAGACGAGACGAGACGAGACGAGACGAGACGAGATGAGATGAGACGAGATGAGAAGAGAAGAGAAGAAAAGAAGACGAGGGTAGAAACGAAAGGAAGGAAGAGCACGAGACTGCGTTGTGCTCGTGAAATAGGAGCAGGGAAAAAGCTCTCGAGTTTTGAATATTCAGTAGGTACGTCCTGCTTGCTCGCATCGTTCCACCGCACCTGACCCTATTTTTATCTAAAGGGGAGAAAAAAAGCACCCACAGTCCAAAGAGATAGACGACAAGTCTCTAAATCCAACTTTTCGATCGACATTTCAGTGATACAAAGTTCTTTTACAATATGATTGATAGGAAGTTGCGACAAGGAAGAACATTCGTTCCTCTGACAAAAACTCGAAATTCCCTCGCATCCAATCAATCTTCTCGCCGTCGATAATGCAGTAACCTTCCTTACACTTGTCTACCTTACTTTGCTCGACCGATCCAAAAGATTGTACTTTACCATCGATTCTTCTATGGTAAGCTAGTTTTCTGCAAACCAGTTACCAGTTACTTTCAAAAATGTTTCGTACTCACCGGGGTAATTGCAATTGTGTTCGTCGCTTCCGTCTTGACAATCCTCAACAAAGTTGCAACGTTGAGATTCCAAAATGCACCTCCGCACGTCGCAAGCGAATTCGCCAAACTTGCAACCTGCGAGATCGTACAAAGACATTTTAACGTCAAATTAATAACTAAAGCCACTCTTTTTTGTAATATAAAAAGACATCAAAGCATATGACGACAAAATATTTGATCTACTGTTTAGCGATACAAACATGCGAGCCTTATCAAAGATATTTAGAAAAGTCATTTACATATGTACAAGAATGTAAAAATAAAGATTGCGTATGTGCGTATGTACATATATACATAATAAGTGAAAAGTGACGAGCGGATTGAAACGATTTACTTATCCAGATAGATAAAGAACATTAAGTCCGTATTCCGACGGCATTCGATGAAACACTGCTACCATCCCCTTAGTAGATAGCACGTAAATATAGATTTGGTTTTTTCTATGTAAAATGAAAATGGGACCGTTGATATACCTGGATGTGGACATCCGACTTCGTCGGCTCCGTCCTCGCAATCCGGTACTCCGTCGCATCTTTGTACCGAACAAATGGATCGGCTTCCGTCCTGACAGCGCACGACGTCGTCGGCACGACATTTGTTCGAGACTCCTCTCAACGTTGTTTCCTCTTCCTCTTCCTCTTCCTCCTCCTCCTCCTCCTCCTCCTCCTCTTCTTCCCCAATTGGGAACCGATTCTCAAATCCCGACGTAATCTCCGTAGTCGAGGACCATTCTGCTTCTTCGCTAACGTCTACAACGTCGACAACGTCTACCCCGTCCCGATTGCGCATATACTAATTTTACAACTAGGCTTGTTGCGTCGCGCACCTCTTTTTTCGATATTATCTTACCGTGCAAGAGACAGTGCGCGGTGCAACCAATATTCGATTTTCCAAACAAGTTGTTAGGAGAAAATAAAGCGTTAATTTGGTCAAGTGAAAAGCTTAATAAAATAAAGTAGGAAAGGTAGGAAAAAATATAAGATGATGGGTGGTCGTCGTACTTACGCTTCGTAGTCGGGGTCGAGACGTTGGAAGGACAACCGAGCTCGTCCGATCCATCCTGGCATTGATCGACACCGTCGCACCGCGAATCTAACGACACGCATTTGCCGTTTCTACACGTTAATTCGGTCGATTGGTCGCATTCCGGCAATACTCTTTCCTTCCCTGCTCCATGATAGTCGTCGTGGTTTTCGAAAGGTAACAAAGTAACCAAAAGAAAGGTCTTTTTAAAAAGCAGCCATGACAAAATAAATCTTATGCGCAATCGGCGATACCACCTATTAATTCACTAACTAACAAAGATAGTATGTATATTAGATAGTATAAATACTAGTTGACTACGTGCTTTACGTGCCAAGTAATAATAAAGTACTAACGTCCTAATAAAGAAGCATTCCAGGGAAGCGATCCATTCTTCTCCTATCCACGTATAACAATATCTATAACAATATCTATGCAAGATCTATGCACCCCAGTGCATATATATTATAATATATAGAAATAGTTGAAAAAGTAGTAAGTTTTGTCGAAACTGGAAGAATCGATCATTTCCCAATGCCGGCGAATCCTATTGTTTTCTTCATTTTCAGACAAAGTTACCTAAGAAACGTCGGAAGGTGAATCCCTCCGGACCGACTTGGATGCTTCCCAAAGAATGATACTGCAACTGTTTTTCCAAGATATCCCGTACCTCCAACTCGTCCGTAAACGTAGAGCCTATGTCGAGGGTGACTTGAGACGTAAACGTGTCGGACGTTGGTCTGAAAACAACAACGTGTTCGCGGATCAACGTGTTCAAGACTTCAACTCTCTTACAACCTCTCTTACAACCTCTCTTACAACAACCTTCGAGATAGTACTTACGATATTTTAATGACGTTGGCCATAAAATCGTAATTGGGAATACGACGAGCGTATAGTTCTTCCAAAGGTTGTGTTAAATTACCGCTTAGCTCCTTGTACTCTCTGCTGTTTCTATCGGCGTACTCCTTTCTGTATGGCTCGTTAACCGTCAAGGTAATTCGGTAAAATCCTGTCAAAAGGATGATATCGTCAATAACGTTTAATTTCGTATTTTTCTTCGATTACGTTTCTAGGGACGAGCAACTTACGGGCTTTTCCGTCGGATCTTGGGATTCCCGTGACAGGTGGAGAATAGTACGAATCCGTGGCGCTACCCTCGATCTCTCCTATAAACGTGAATTTACAATGAAATATTTTCTTTGGAAAATCGTGCCAAAATATGCGATAATTATTTGCAATAATTTTACCAGATCCCACGAGGTCTTCGTCGTCGGAATTTACGTAATTCTGTGGAGGAGCCCTAAGACCCTCCGCCGCGTCGCCAATCTCGTTCTCCTATGGACAATCATGAACCCAAATGAATCCTAACAATATACCTCCAAACAAATATAGCTCTCTCGCTCTCCCTCCCTCTTTACCTGCTTATCGTCGACGTACTCCTCTTGGCTGTCTCGAATGAGTCTCTCCAAATGTCGATCGTTGTTGCTCTTTTGCGCGTTGAAAACGTCGCTATCGTTGAAATTGTCGGCAGGCCAAACACCCTTATTCCCCTTATTCTCTTCATTGTTCTCGATATCTGTCGATATAAAAGAAAAATAAACGATATTAGATATAATAGCATAGTGTAATAGAAAAATGAAGAAAAGAGCAAACTCACCTCCTGTCGGCAATGTCTTAGTAGTGCTATTAGTAGATGCGTTGCCGCTACTGCCGGAAGAAGAAGGACTAGGAGTATTAGGAGGAGTAGTAGTAGAAGAATCGAAAAAATTACTAATCGCTCTCTTTATTCTGTGAAAAATCGACTGCTCCTCGTGTTTCTCGATCAAGGGAATTTGCAGGCTTGATTGTTTACCATCTTGATCAAAGACCAAGTCGTCGTTCTGAAAGAAAGGAAAACGAATGAATAGCCTAATTGTAAATTTTGGACAAGAACGAGCTTGTACACGTATTCGCGATTCGTTGCATATCCGATATGGTATAGGTATTTGTTAGGTAGAAGGGTGGGTCGGTCTATCGCTGAGCGTTCTCACGTGCCCCTCATAAAGAAGCAATTCTCACCTAAACACGCGATATAAATTCAGGATCGTACTCGGCATTCTCTTCAGGCTCGAGAAGAACCGCGGCGAGTGAGCCGCGATCCGTGATTCGCAAGCCACAACCAACGGACAGCAAACTGGCCGGCTTCTACGATAACTACGACTACTCGAGACGATTTAGTCCATCTACGTGATGGAAAAAGAAAAGAAAAGAAAACACACCTATAAAATGTAATAATATGATATCTCAGTTGCGTTAATCTAAAACGAGGATAATGACACGAGACAATTTATTAATTGTCGCGAGGCACATCGTGTTCTAAACTCGGAATTTATCGACTAACTGTACTCGCGGATAATTGAATCGATATCGATGACATGGATATTTAATGGAATGAGTCAAAGTTAGGACGAGACAGATGGGCTGATAAATCGCGCCACGTTTAGATGGCGATGTTCATCCTTTCTTATTGTTAAATGCATCTCGTCTCTGTTACACGAATCGCGCGACCTATTTAGATAGATCAACATTCATTTAGACGATCAAAATTCCACGCTAGGGAAGGGACTTGAAAATGGTGTCATAGAAGAGAGCACGTAATAGGAGAGAAGGAAAGGAAGAGAAGGGTGAGAAATTTGTGAAGGGGGAGAAATATAAATCTCCGGAGGAGATGGCTGGGCGGTGGAAAAATAAAAGAGTCCACTAGGGAGAGCATCCGAGGCAGCCAGCTAGACGAAACTTTGTTATTCCGAGCAAGTTTTACACGGGATTTTCGAGTTAAGTCCACTCTATGATCCTTTCGCCGCAACTACGTGCTCATACTTTTACAAAACACCACCCCTACAGTCCGAAATCCTTCAAATGCATGGGAAATACGTGTCCGCGCAGGTTAAGTGTCGAAAGGACACCTCGAAAGTTTCCTTGTTGGGTTCTTTGGTGGAATGCGCGCGCGAACAAAGTTGCTTTTCCAATACGCAACGCGGCGTCATCCCATATTTAGGCCATCTCGGTTTGTTTGCTGAATGACGTGAGCAGCACGCCTGCGATAAGAAACATTCTTCGTTCGCACCTTCACTCGAACCGCAAACTAACTAAACTCGAAAAAAAAAAAAAAAAACAACTACTTTCCGCGCCATCCGATTAATATCGGATTTATTTTTATCTATTATATCAATAGATCGAGCAACAACTCGCAAACGACTTTTATCGTCGATTCAACTTTCTTCGATGACTTTAGTAACGATATCGTACGACCTACGATAATATTACTAAATTCCGAAGCATACATTTGACTTTGATAAAAGTCCATGTAAAAATGGATACTGTAAGTAAGAGAAATGAATAAAATAAGGGCCTTGAAACGGTACGCGCAAAGAGAAGCGCAGCCAACGAGGTCGTTAAACTGCGAACGAAAAAGAAATCGTGCGAGATGACTCATCGTACGACTACGACGACGACGACTACGACGACGACGACGACGACGAAGCGAGAAATATAGTCGATAAGATGGCTTCTTTGAAAATCGATTAAAATTGGAAAATAAGACGAACGACGATCGCTAAAGCCCACATAGGTTAACGTTTGGACGAAACATTAATCCGCCTAGCGCGACCACACGTGCAACGCATATTCATCGTTTATCATCGTTTAGTTTATCTCTTCTCCCTACCCAACATATTCTCTCTCTCTTGAAAATGATGTAACCAAGATCCGTGAGAGCAAGAAGGATAATCTGAATGAAAATGAACGAAACGAAAGACGAGATAGCTCGTAATAATTATTATAATTCGAGTTTAGCAAGATCGGCTAAGAGGTCAAGGCGCCTAACATTGATAACCCTAGAAATTGGCTCGAGTTCGTTTGAAAAATATTCCAAGAAAATCGTTCACTTTTGCGAGCAAAGATAGGACGAAAATCCCAACAATTTGAGAGACCTCTCGGAGGCTTCGAGTTAACGAAAATATACGTCGTTCGAGTGTCGAAAAGCTTCGAGGGTGAAAGTAGCCGCGCACCAACGTCCTTTGTCTTAAGCTATGGTATATTAATGCGTTAGAGAGGCGCCGGAATACTAAAGACCGGGTCCGGCATCGTCGTTTAACCGCCCCTTTGCATTTTAACAGCCTCTCACCGGAAGAGGCTTCGCACCGTCAAGAAACATCCGGGGCCGCGCGAAAAAACTTCCTTTCATCCACTTTGGTCCCATCTTTTAAGAATGTTCTGCACGTGCCGCCTTGCCTTGCCTTGCCTTGCCTTGCCTTGCCTTGCGGTCGTCCTACGACTCTCTCTCTCTTTTTTTCCTTTATTTAAATATTGTTACTAACTTGTCATCATCAATTTATCAGTTGAAAAGATCAAGAAAGCTACTGGAGCGAGAAATAAAGGACACACGTGCTACTTCCCAGCTAGTTGAGGGAAAGAGAAGAAGAAAGAGATTTCCTCGAGGATGATCTTATATGAAGTTTCATATCCAGAGTAAGAGAGTGAGAGAGAGAGAGAGAGAGAGAGAGAGAGACAAAGAGGGCAAATATCCAAGCGGCCAATCCTCTCTCGGACTTGGACACCATTCGCATTTTATCAAGGCTCCACGCGAAATTGCGGAAATCACGTCGGTCTGATTTCCCGAGGAAAGCCTCGGCAGATTCGTTCCGACAAATCAAAGACCCCTCGGGCTACGATCTGCCAGTCAGACGAGTGGTTCTACTCGCGAGAGATCGCGAGAGAGCGTATATCCGAGAAGTCGAGAGAGAGAGAGAGAGGGATTGTTTTTCTCTTTTTTCTTTTTTCTTTCTTCTTTCTTCTTTCTTCTTTTTTTTCTCTATCCGTCGATGCAAACTGTTCTCCCTCTCCTTCTGTTTCGCGCGCACACGTTTGATAAGGAAAACTAAAGGGATGGCTTTGGAAAGCGATACGAAAGAGATCGATCGCGTATGTACTTGGAAATATCTACGTTCGAAGAAAGAGAGGAGCATGCGCTTTTCATAAAAATAACATTTTTTCATTCGCGCGACAACAAAATTGGCCGTCTTTTTGCTCTAAGCAAAAGCATAATCGTATCCGCTCGATATCGTATTTTGGCTAACGTCTACAGAAAATCCAACAGAAAATCCAACAGAAAATCCAACAGAAAATCCAACGCGCCTACAACAGGCCCACTGTGTTTGCGCAGACTGGAAAGTATCTCGTTTGACCAAAGCAAATAATTGGAGAATAGATATGCTTGCCAGCCGCGTTTGTTGCTTTTCCTTAAAAAACATCTGTCTAACTTTCAACAACAACCCGATTATATCCAAACGAGCTTGGAGAAATTGAAGAACAATTTATTGGAGCAAAATTGACGCAACCCTGACGCGACATAATATCATTATATCGCAACAAAGAAAGATTCGAGCCTCATGAAGATGATTGTGCAACGACATATGCGCGTCCAATTACGTAGGACCTGCTTGACTTTGCTGCCGCCTCGAATATTAACCACGATACACACAACTCGTATCGAATCATTAAATTCGACCTCGAAGTTAAAAAAGTATGTCTTCGCATAAACTATTATTTGGAGCGATATAGAGCGTTATAGAGCGTTATAGAGCGTTATAGAGCGTTATAGAGCGTTATAGAGCGAAGCTCCGTCTCTTTCGGATTGAGGAGAGAGAAAAAATGGCAAGACGACCCCGATCCCTTCTTACGCTAGAAACCGAGATTCGCCGGTATCGCGTCGATGATAAATATTCGCAAAAAGCTCTTAGGAATTTATGAAAATAAATAAAAGGAATTGAAACGTGTTTTGAGCGTGTTTCGCGCAGCAAAGATGAAGGCTCAAAGAAAGAAGAAAGCCTTGGGACTCTCAACGATGGAAAAAAGGGTCGTTCGTTGGTTGAGCTCGAGCGCAACGAGAGCTCTTTCGTAAGCTGCCACCCTCTCGACGAATGGCCAAGAGCATAAGGAGCCTGGCCACCACGAGCTTACCGCTAAACTCCCCTAATAGTCCATTGTCTGACATATCTGAAGGGATCCCAGCCCAGTCGACTTTTGACATCGAAAATACTTAGCAAGTCGCGTCGCAACCATTAATTCGATGACTCATGCTCCAAATGACAAATAAAAATCTGCTCGTTATATTTAGTTTCTTTTACGATCGAACCGCGAAAAGTATCAACGCTTCGTCCTTGGCTTTATCCTTTGGGCGCGCTCTCTCCGAAAAAAAAGAGTCGCGGATTAAAGGGAGAAATAATAAAAGAAGCGAGGAGAGACGAGACTTGTAGCAGCCCTACATGAACGAACGAACGAACGACGAACGTTAAGCGAGCGTAATCGTGTTTTGCTTTGATACTGAGCGAGAGATAGGGTGGGGTAATATTTTTGTATAAGCTGACTGCAAGAGTCACGTCGCGTCGCGTTGGGTCGCGTCTCGTTAATTGACGCGCAACCCAAGCGCTCAAGCTCGAAAATATCAATTCTCTCTTGGTCTCCTTTTCCTTCCGTAACGCGCTACACATCATTTTTATTTGACCTCATCTAACGTTTCAATTCGATCCTCTAATTTGTCAATGACTCACCAAAAACTTTATCGTTAAACCTTTAGATTATATCTTCCCTCTCCTCTCATATGATTTGTTCTTTAGTGGCAAAAACGATTAAACGCCAGAGGAAAATAGGACAAATAAAAAAAAGGATAGAATAGTTCAATTTTCTTGATAAAAATGTTCTGGATTATGAAGCGCGTAGTCTCTAACCCTCCGTAATACGCTAGCCCAAACTTATCCGTTGCTTTTGAAAGCGAATCTAATACGTGGATATCGGCTTTCCAATTAAGCACCAATTATAACGTTTTCGACGTAACACTTCC